TTTTCGTGCCAACGGACGTGCCGGCTGGCGGAGCCTCTGGAGGTCACCGTCCTCTGTGGGGGCTCACGTTTGGAGATGCCCGATTTGTGCGTAGATTTGGGCGGGGAGGGGATACCGTGACTGGGAGTTGCCTGTGCGTGGCGTGGACATGACCCCTCTCGCTTCCTTGGTCCTGCTTGAGGTTAGGCCTACCAGCTGACAGCCTGCTCTTTAGGCTGAAGGGCGGGCCTGGTCTTGACAGGGGTGTCAATTTTGCTGATTGACTACCTCACTGAGGTGGAATGCTTTACAATGCCATAAAAATGCACCATTCTATAGTTTTATGCTAATTATATTGTAATTTAGGGTTTTTTTTTAAATGAAACTTGAAAAAAATCCAGTTTGTTCTCAGTTCTGGCTTTTGATGTGTTCTCTGGTTCCCATTTGCAGAGTACCGTCCATGATTTGACAGTCCACCGTGCAACTCCTGAGGATATTGTAAGTTTAACAGCAATCACTGCTCCTTCTCTGTAGCAAGGAGATTTAGCTGGTTTTCTAGCATAAGTGTTTACCACACTTATGGGGATGTTTTCTGCCAACGTTTAATCTCCCTTTTTAAGCTTCTGAAAATACTGGCTCTTTAGTGTTAGTTCTTTGTTTATGATAGCATGCATCCCCAGCTCTGGCAGTTGGTGTTTTTCAGTTTTCTGTTTCCGTTGGGAAACAGTAGCTGTAGTTTTTATTACAATAAAGTATATACCAGCATAAAAACATAAATACGTAAAAACTCAGTGGAGTAGTTGAAGTTAAGTCTCGTCTCTGCTGGAAGGACTGAAAGACATGCTTTATTTTAGGAATCTCTCTGATTTTGAGGCTATTCAATTTTCATTTAAACAATTTGGCATCATTTCTTTGTGCTGAATGACCTGCTCTGTGAAATTATGTGAATATATGTGAAAATATGTGAATTCCATTTCATTTTCCTTGGTAGCACTGATTACCAGTATGGAATAGGCAGTATGAGCTGTTGTTGCTTGTAAATTTTGACAGGTTAGTCAGGACAGATGGGCACAAGAGCGGAGAGAGACTTGATTCTGTAAGTGGTTGGCTTGATAGCTTCCAGACACTTTAGCAAGCACCTCACACATTTAATGCATTTAATTTGTATTTAAACTGAATATATCTCTCTCTCTCATTGTTAGAAGAAGAGAGAGAATATCTCTGGTGACTGACAGTGTTAAATCAGGGAAAATGCATTATGTCTTTTTATGCATATTATAGGTGCGAGTGTTTGGGTTTTGTCTCCCTTTACAGCTGAGAAAACTCTTACTGGGTCAGTGGTATAGGGCAGATGAAAACTGTGAGACTTTCCCCATACACCTTTGGAGCCACTTTAAATTTGGCTGGTACTGATGGCATTTTACACTTCTGGTTATTTGTGAGGCTGTCGTTGGTACTACCATGAAGTTAACATAAATAGTATTCAGCGCATGAATGATAAAATCAAGAAGAGCTTGTTAGCATTACCCTGCAAATTTTGGTTTAGAGTGTCCCTTGATTTTGAAATGGTTTCTTTCATGTTTACATAGCTGCGTCGCCATGAAATACACAAATCAAAAAACAAAGCACTGGCGCATCTGGAACTGCAAGAGAGAGCACTGAAAAGAAAATGGAAGAAGCAAAAACAACCAGCTGCTGATTCCTTGGAGAAAAGGAAATTGACTCTGATGCGTGAGGTGAGAGCTAAATCTGCACTTAGGCCTGCTGCAGGTGATTTGCAGCAGTAGTGGAAAACTGCTCTTGCACATAGGTCAACGTTTGCTCCTCTTGTTGGATAATTTGACTTCATATATGCCTACACTCTCCCTCCTCTATGTGTTGCATGCATGCAATGATTGGAATAGGCTTTTCATATGTGTAACATATGTATAACATATTAACTGATCTATACAGTTGTGCATTTGATCCTTATTGCCTGGCTATGCTCTCTGTAATTCTGCAGGCCTCTTTGCATCTGAACAGGAACTGTTTGCAGAGTTGAACTGTGTGTTGTGAAAAAGATGTGCGTTCTTTGTGTTCTTACTGCTATCTTTCCTTCTCTTCCCCTGTCTAGTATTTTTCTTTGATGGAAACATGAACATTTCTCGTTCTGGGAGGGACGTCCTTATCTGCCATCGCTTATTTAAACAGAGAAAATGCAGAGTCACAGGGGCTGAAAGGGTGAGGCAAGAAGTTGATAAGGAGGAGCTTGTCTGGAAGGAAAATTGACACAACAAAGGTTGAGGAGCTATGGCTGCTAGCAGACAAGCTTGTCATCTGGGGATCGAAAATCTTGTTCTTTAGGCATTCTGAAGCACTCTGACTGACAATATATTGTTTAATTTGCTTTTGAATATTGAACTGTAGCAGCAAATCTAAGATTAGCTAACAGAGACAGTAGTTGTCATTGTCTGAAAAGGGATTTCAGTGGTAGACAGACATCCTTTTGTTTCACATGGCAGGTGGCTCCTTGCCATATGTTATGAAAACTAATCTCAAAACATAGTCATTAGCTTTCAGACCTCATCAGCACTTGGACAAACTAAGAATTGTTTTTGTTAGTAAAGAATGATGATAAACAATGTTCACCTAGCAGTTAAAATAAACATGATTTAGTAGTCCTGTAAATGTGCAGTGTATTAACCATCACAGACGTTTTCTCTCTTTCATCTTTTGTAAATTTTAAGAAGACTTTTTCTGATCTCTGAGAACATTCAAGCATAGACAGAAACGAATGAAAGTACTTAGAATTGAAGATCACCTTCTAGTTTTCTATTTGACACCTGTTTCTCTGCAATCACAGTAGAATTTTTGTGTTAAGGATATTGAGCTAATCAAGCCTCAGACTTTAATTTTGACTTTTGTTACTTGCATGCTTTTGTGCCAAGTGCATTTTAGTGGAGTGTTCAAAAAAGCTGTGGACTTTTATACAAATTTCCCTAACGTAATAGAAGGCTAGTTTCAATAAGACTTCCATTCAGAAATAAATTATGTATCACAAAGGTAGATTAGACTACCCGCTCTAAAATTTGGCTGGACTACCTATTATGTGACTTTGTTATTTTGCAGATGTGAAACTCATGGTTAGGAAATAGTCTTCCATATTTGTTGCCATTTCTAATGACAATGCACAAATTTCAATTCCTCCTGAGTAGCTTTCCCCTTCATATTTAAGAGATGACTTTATTCAACATACTCTGTGTCCACTTCTGAATCAGAGAAAAGATGCTTCCAGATAGGAAGACAAAAGGAGACGATGCCAGGCAAGATGAAACCCCTCTGGCTGTTGCTGTTTGAAACACTGGCATCTTCTTGTGTGTGGAGAAAAAAATAGATGGAGGAGAGTCACCATTTTTGCCTCTCCCTAGCTTAAATCTTGTTAATCGCTAGGTCCTGTTGTTCAGAGTAACTGGGGAGACTCTTCAGTCTGTGTCTCCCAGTACAGCACTACCGCTGTGGATTGTCTCTTGTCTCTGTTATCTTGGTGATCTTTTTTCCTTATTTACTGCTGTGAGAGTGTAGCTTCCTAAGCCCCTTGAATCCTACTGAACTGCAAAAGACTCGGAGACAAAAACTAGGAAGATGCTGCTACTAGTTTGTTTTTTTCTTGTAGTACGTTGAAGAGAAAGAGAGCAAGAGTTATAAAATGGATGAGCAAAATTTTAATCTTTTGGGGATTTGTCTGCCTAAAAATCTGAATGAAAAAATAATACGAGTTCGTTTCTGTAACTGTGGCTTGTGAATGTGTAGGTACCACACTGATTGGTCCTATAACAACTTGTTTTTAAAATAACGTTAGTATGTTGCACGGGAGGGTAGGTGCACGGGAGTGTGTTATCATAGTGGGGAGGTTTTAGGATTAGTCCCGTTTAATTATCTGTAGTAACAATCTGAAACAGGAGGGAAGATGAATTTTAATGTAATTCATAGGTGGTACTAAACTGGGACAAGGTACAGCACTCAGTGAATTTGTTGAGGGCATGTAAGTGGGCCTAGAGGGGTTAGAAGCTGATCACACTTTGTTTTCTGCTGATCACAAGCAAATGTGAGCTAATCTACCTTAGGAGCAATGCTCTAAAAATGTTCATAAC